TTAGTTCAAATAATTATTTTTATATTAAATAATCTTATAATATTTATATATTCCCACCTATACTAAATATCAACCATGCTATTTTACTTATATAGAGTACATATTTTTCGAGTATTATGTTCTCGAATTTTTTTCATTGATCATTTATTGAATAACAAATGTTCACAATTCTATAGGTATGTTCTCATAGAACATGAGAACATAAGATTTATTGCTTACTAAACACTAAAGACCCACGCATGCACTTAAAAAGTATCTTATTACGTAATAATTTATTAATAATTCCACGCTTGTTGAATTGTCGTTGTGGATCAGTGATCAACAAGTGTGGAATTGCAGAATTGACGATCTTTAGGAGCATATCATATGCAGAAGTTACATTTTTTGATATCGAAATTCCGGCATTTATCTAGCTATGTAAGCACGTACGCACTATCGCTAAATGTTATTATATTACCAAAACATCGATTACCAGTATTAATCATGCTACAATGAAAATCAAATATTCACTTCAGGAGTTTCCTCTACGGTTCTCATTTAATTATTTATACCTTATTGAATATATTTTCTAAATTTTTAATAAAAAAAAAACCAAATAAATAGCAAAAATTATGGAATATCAAAAGCGCAACTTCTGTCGTCAATTCCACAATTACTTGTGGAATTGTGGAAATTATGTAAATTCTATAACCGCATAATTGTGGAATTGTGGAAATTATGTAAATTCTACAACTGCATAATTGTGGAATTGTGGAAATTGTGTAAATTCTACAACTACATAATTGTGGAATTGAGAATTTCAATTCCGTAAACTGAACGTTTGTGGTATTGATTCCCCTGTATCACTAGTCATAACGGGTCATATCAAGTGATGCAGGGGAATTATTTCCAGGCAATGTCAATACGGAACGATCAAATTTAGAATGTTGTATAGTATGCAGATTGTTTTCAAATGTTAACTAATAGCATAATTAATACTATTTTGGATAAATTCATAGCAAAGCAGTTTTTGATTAGATCATACCACTAGTCTTTATTAAAGTCATTGCTATATAAAATGCCTATCTCAGAGTTTAAGACTACAGGTTTTCAACCACGCCATATCGTTATTAATGATCAAGAAAAACCTAACAATGTTCTCAAAAAAAGTGACAAAATTAAATGTATTTGACTTAAAGAAATACAAAAGCTTACCTTCTCCTGAAGAAGCAAATGAAGAATTAAAGAAAAAAGAACCTGAATTTAATGAATTACTAGAGAAGGTCATGGATTTAACCAAAAAGCGTAATATTGAATTAGGACTTCGATTAATTCATGGCCATGATACACCTTTGGAAGATGGACAAGCTATGGTTGAAAATTTTGGTACTTTTCAAGATAAACCAGCGTTAATTACATCGGCCGCTATTCCAAATGGGAAAACATATCCGGCAAGTTGGATTTTAAGTGATAAGAAATATTTAGTTTTTGAATATTCAACAGATACACGCGTGAAGCAAGTATATGAAAGGCTTCTTGAAGATTCATCCGCGCTGGATGAAATCAGTGCTTATATCAGACAATATAATCTAGATTCTTTAGTTGGTCCTTGTATTACTGCCAGAGAGGCAATGACTAAGTTTAATATGGGACAAGGACAAATTTTGTCTGAACATACCACTATGCTTAATGAAAAACACGTTAATATTGTTCAAAGTAGACAGAACAAAAATTTTTTATCTGATAGTATTAAAACTTTATGGGGAGCACAAATAAACGATTTTGTTATGACTGTTCCTTGTTACTGTACTCCTAGCCAACATATAGCTACAATAAGTGAACAAAGCGGACCTGTCATTGTGAAGCCTTTCGGTGAGTTAATAAATAAATCACAAATTCATTAAAATGATTGATTAAATTTTTTTTTTCTATTTATTAGACAATATTGAACTCCGTTTACCTGTCGAAGTGCTGATGTCTAATTCTACATATAAGAAACGAAGAGATTTGTTTCTTCAAGGTTTTGCAATGGTTCAAAGTCGTGATGCCAGTGATCCTAGATCTTTTTATGCAGTTGCTGGTATTCATGGTCAACCCTACCAGCCTTATGATGATGATAAAAAGTCATCTGACTGGAACAAGAGTGAAACTAATCGCTGGGGTGGCTACTGCCATCATAGTGATATACTTTTTCCTACTTGGCACCGGCCATATGTTTTATTAATCGAAATGCTTATTTATGAAGCGGCTAGCGAGCTTATTAAAACTTACCCAGCAAGTTCAGAAACTGAAGAATATAAAAAAGAACTTGAAAAGCTTCGATTTCCATACTGGGATTGGGCCAGTCCATCTACACTTGCAAATGGTGTACCCTCTATCTTATTTGATGAATATGTTTATATCGATTACCCTGCTCAAAAAAACGTCAAAATCCGAAATCCTCTTCGTGCATTCACTTTACCAGTAGATCTTGGAAGTTTAATACTTGTTGGTGATGTGTCTAATCCAACACAAAGACCATATAATCCAGAAGCAACTACTACTCCTTATACGCCAAAAGGATATTCAACAGTCAGACATCCTGATAGCAATTATATTTCTAATCAAGATGCTACCAGTCTTAGTGTTATCACTTTTTGCAGTACTATATTTCGTCCAACTATTTATCAAGTTTTATTGGTTGATAAATGGCGTCAATTCAGTAATCATGGTGATGGTTTATTAGAACCTAAGAATGAAAATTATGGTCATTACGCATCAATTGAAGTTATTCACGATGCTTTTCATGATTCATTGGGAGGGGCTGGTGGTCATATGTCATATCCCGATATCGCTGCTTTTGATCCTATCTTTTTCCTTCATCATTGTAATATAGATCGACTCATTGCTATTTGGCAGGCATGCCATCCTGATGCTTGGTTCATTAAAAGTGATGACACTGAAGGCACATTCACTCAACAGGCTAATGAATATATTGATGAAAATACTGATCTTACACCATTCAGAATAAATGAAAAAGCTTATTGGACCTCAAGATTAGTGAAGTATGTAAATGTTTAATTAATATATTAATTGTTAAATTAATTAATTTTTTTTCTGTTCGAAATAGAGATATTAAAGATCTTGGATATACTTATCCCGAACTTGAAGATAATCCAAATCCTCCCGAACTTTTACGTAGTATGCTTCGTTATTATCGTCCAAATTTATACCTGTAAATATTTATTTTATTTCGTATATTTTCTTTAATAAACAAATCAAATAATTAACATTTTCAAAAATCAAACAGGCAATATCACTGGAAGCTTACCCTAACTGTTAAGAAAAATAAAGTTAGAGCACCGTTTCAAATTCGTGTCTTTCTTGATTTACCAACTGCGAACGCTTCAACTCCTACTAGCAGTCCAAATTTTGCTGGTCTTGTATCAATTTTTGCTCGTGGTAAAGAAACATTATGTGCTAATTGCTTACATAATTTGGACTCCAAGGTGGTAAATGGTAGTGTTGACCTTACTTCATGTATGGAAAGGTTATTTATTAATACAAGCCCGATACCTAGTGGTGTTAGTGATTGGGTCATACAAAACATAGAACCTAGTCAAATTACTCTCGTTGCCGTTTTAAAAGATGGAAGTGGAATAAGTCTTGAAGATGCTGGTTTAATGACCGCGTATTATTGGATGTTTGATGAAGGTCCTGATTTTGATCCAGACTACAAAAATCGGTCCAAGAGAATAATGGGACAGGTCTATCCCAGTGTAAACAAATCTTAGCATAAGCTACTACATTTATTACAAACTGTATAATTGTAAATGCATTATAGATTAAATATTTTAATGAAATATTTATCTTAGGATTATGTAACTATATAACATATAAATAAAGCATGAGTTATAACTGGCCATATATTTACCTTTAAATTGTCAAATATCCCGATTACCAATATCAAAAACAGATATTTTTATTACAATTATCTTAAGTCAACTAACTATATTTCGTACGTTGAAATGGAATTTTTGTAGATTTAAAGTCCATCTATGTTGATTCCGAATAAATATAGATTGTACTAAAATTCTAAATGTGCCCAAGTCATTAAAAAACTCCAATTCAACAAAATTATGTGCATCCCAAATTATTTCATCGAGTGCGTTGTTTTGGAATTTAAGTGTTTTAAGATAGGATTTATTCAAATCAGCGTATTAATTAAATTTAAAAGCAGGTCATGATTAGTTGGATGACAACTATTATGAATTGACGACAGTTATTTTTTAATCTCCACCGATTGAAAGGTAACTCAGGTCAATCATGATGTGCCTTAGCCTTAAAATATGAATATAATTCTATTAATTTCAATTGGATTTTTTTTTAAAAAAAAAAATTTGACCGACTGACCCACTTTTCAGATTCCATGTAATGTAAAACGAAAAATTAACTTTGCGTGGCCTAAAGGTGTAATTATTGTTTTTAATTAGTATAAATTACCCCGTTTATGAAGTATTGAATGTGCATACCGCAGCATTCCTTAGTATAATTTTTGATAACGTGGGAATTTTGGTTTCTATATCAAATAAACATTTTTATTTTTTAAAATTATGATAAGTATTACTATGAAATATAGTTTCTACACTGCCTAGTGTATTAAATCTTTATTGCACCAATTCTTTCAATTCTTTTCCTATTCGGATATTATGATAATAATTCTTTCTCAATCTTTAAAGCTGACTCTGTTAAAAAAAATATATGTGGTGAATTTTGCTAAAAATTGCTATATTTTATTATGGAATTGTAAAAAATTTTTTAGGGTCTTTTCTGTGGTCTTTTTTTATAGTTGGGTTAGGGTTATGGATAATTTTATAAGTAGCATTATGTGTTTAAAAAGACCCAAATTTCACCATAATCCCATAATTATTCTTTTCAAATTATTGATCGCCAATAACAGGGATTGTTTCATTTAACCCGGTTTAGGGTTTGAAATTGAAATGACCAATATTCGAGTTCATAATATGTCAAAATAACCTGTTCACATTGCTAATTGACTGGTAAAAATTTTCAAAATGAAGATATAAAATACGATATCAAAGTTTTATTTTATATATAGTAATTTTATTGTAAGGGATTTCGTTTTAACTTTAAGTAAAAATTTGGGATTGTGCCAACATTGTTGTGCCATTAAAGAGATAAGTCACGAGTTTGTTGTACCCGCTATTTCTCTGGTTTCGGATACATAGATTTATTTTAGAAGCTATTGTCGTGGTGACTCACAGTTATAGGGTCTTTAGGCGTACATCTATTTACCCATCAAGATGTTAGATGAATATCCGATGATCTACCCTACTCGGCCAATTAAAATTAATCA